TGCATTCTCTTTCTGTCTACCTATAGAGATAATATGTGTAAGGATTCAAAGTATATTTCTGTTGGCAGAAGAAAAAGTAGTAGAAATATTTGAAATGTTATATCTAATGTTCCTCAATATCTAATTGTAATGCGGTGCTTCATGCAGGCTGTGTGTAAACCTTTTTTCTAACTCTTGGTTTGAAGTGTGTTTAAACAAACACAGGTTACCTTCTGTTGACGGTGGTATGTCCCAAGTGTTGTGTTGGGAAAATCACTAACAGACATCGCTTAGAAAAAATGCACGTTTAAATTTTTTTGGTTTTAATTTTTTTATTTCCCCCATTCAGGTCCTGGAGTCTTGACCCGAACTCTGCTCAATGCAGGTGTTAAAGTGGTAGCTCTAGAAAGTAACTTGGCTTTTCTTCCAAACTTACAGGTACGCTTTTGATTTGGTAGCACATTTCTAAAACTTCATTAAGGGGAAAATAAGAAAGTAACTTACAATTGTGTAATAACTGTTGGATCAAAAAGGAATTAGCCAGTGATCATTACTTGTAACATCTGAAATAACACTTAGCAATAGTAAGTATTGTTTGGTTTTACATTGCATATTCAGCAACAGGCTATTTTATAATCAATTGACTTGACATTTTGTCTATGTAGGAATTCATAGTCTTCTTATGAATAGTTTCATGCATAAATTGGAGGCTAATAGTAATCAGAGTCATTGTCATGTATGTTTAAGCAAGATGTCTGTATGTAGCTTTATGAAATCTGTAAGAATAGTCTTGGTTATTCTGATTATTTCATGGTATTATTTGATCTATTGTCCTGCAATTGACTGGTAATATTAAGACTTTTACATGTGTTCTCTCCTATTCACCTTGCCTTTGCATGGATTCAAAGGTGGTCAAACCCAGAGCTGCAGAAACTGTACTAGAAAGATTGTGTTACAGTGCTGTAAAGTAGAGGTTTGGAACCAAAGACTCCTGCCTGACTTAAAATGTGTATAAAAGACATTCTGTCTGCATGTATGAAGAATTCCAGTTGTAAATCTAAATGCAGTGGTTTGCTTAGTTGAGTATAGCTTTTTTTGCAAGATATTGCAGAACATATTACTAATTTAAGAATATGTTTTAAAGCTCCAGTTGAACAGCACAAAAATGTTAAAATGCCTTGCATAATGAAGGAAGCTGTGAGAAGCAGCTCTGAGATTTGACTCTTGTTGACTGGGTAACAATTTTAGGTGGTGCTTGAGCATTTTTTTTGTTGTTGTTTGGGTTGGGTGTTTTGCGAGACAGGTTACTGCATCCAAATTTCTTCAACTGAAACTAATTTTATTCAGTCCCTAGAGAATAGCCTGGATGGACAATTAAAGGTCATTTACGGTGACTTCTTCAGACTGGATCCTTTGGTGGCTGGAAAGTTGAAACCACCTGCTATGTGTTCTGACAAACTTTTTGAAACCATGGGTGTAGCAGCAGTTCCTTGGAGAGCAGGTATATGTATATGATTGCACGTTACAAATACCTTTGAAGGGTGCATAGGCAGTTTGGCAAAATCTTTGGGATTTGCTTGAGGTATATGTTCTTTTTAATATATATGCTGGATTAATGGATACTATTTCCTACATTTCAGCTTTATTTAGGTTTCTTGATAGCTTCAAAAAACTCTTGTGGCAATATGAAATCTCAGTTATTTCTTTGCCTTTATTAAAGGTTTAGGCTAACGCAAACTGAGCTTAACTTGTATTCATTCTTGAACAACATGAGCTGACAGACTTCTTAATTGTTTATAGTTTAGACATTAGCACTAATGAGATTGTCTGGTACCTATTGCAAAATTTTAAAGATACTTTTACACACTATTGAAACAGATGTACCTGTGAAAATTTTTGGGATCTTACCACAAAAAAAGGAAAGGAACACACTTTGGAGGCTTCTTTTTGCCCTGTATGAATGCAGTTCCATTTACAGATATGGAAGAGTAGAACTCAACATCTTTATAAGTGAAAAAGAGTACAAGGTATGTGTAAGAGATTTTACAGGTAGTAAAGAATAAGTAGTGCTTCACAGAACACAAAAACATTTATATTGTACAGTTAATGTTTTTGCTAGTGAATTTCTTTTTCTGACAGAATTTTTAGGTCTTGTCTATTTCCTCCTTGTTCTCTTTATGCAGTAATAGCACTGTCAAGAAACATTCTGTTGTCACATAACCACAAATCTTATAAATGTGAAGACTGGTCCTTGAGAAGGATATGCAGCAGCAGAGTAGGTGTTTTCCATTGTAACTTGTGAGGTGCTTAAATTCTGTAATGAGTGTTTGCAAGAAAATTGTTTACTAGTTGCAGGTAATAGTCAATGAAGACTGAGTTCAAAATGCCTCATGAAGAGGATTCAGTTACTAAATACCATACTCAGTGAGATGTGCTTGGTCTCTTGAGCCACTTTTGTGTGCAATACTGAAAAAACCTGAGGCAAAATATGAGTGATTTACACACCTTGTTATTAAGGTTCTGTACACTAAGGTGCAGAGCAGCTTTCTGGGTTATGTGTTCCTAATTTATGCTGTCCCAAACTTCTAGAACTGTACTTGTAGTTAAGGGTACCTTTTCTTTCTGTGAAACTCTGAGGTTCATACTGAGCCACAAACATTTAATTACTTGAAGTAAGCAAAGACTTCCAGGTGTGCTTACACAACCTGTGTTGTGTCTAACACACTACTGAAAAAATTAAAAATCTTAAGTATATTCTTCTGTGAAATGACAGGTTGGACACCACTGAAATATCCACCTAAATGGTATGTTTTTGATGGCCAGATTTTTGAGCAAATGGGGGCAGCCTATTCATTTAATGCAGTTGCTGTGGTTTTTTTATTAAGTTTTCTGGTTTTATTATGAACCCTGTTAAATGAGAGTTGTGTATCTAAGCAAAAGCAATTGTAACTTTGTTTTAGTGGGCACTGTTGGTTCCTTTTTGGGTTTTAGGGGTTTTTTTGGTTGATCATATGATGAGGCGCTCTAAATCTGTTATGGGAAGTTAAATCTCCCTGCTACAATTTACTTCTTTCTTTGCCCTGTTTGAGAATAACTGCAAGTTTTTCTTTTTTTCTTGCTCTAAGAGTTGTCTGATCTGTAATATTGATCTGGATGATGACTGTGCAAGCTGCTTAATGTTCAGTGCAGTCACCTGATGTTTGGCTTACTCTGCTTGTGTGTGTTATTGGGAATATTATCTTATCAGTGCAAGCTGATAACTCTGCCCATGTTATGATTTTTATACAAAATATGATCCCTGTTTCTCTTCTGTGTGAAACTTCTCTACCTTAAAAGGGACCAGAAAGTATAAGCTGGAAATTCCTACACAGTTCAGTTATCCAAATAGCTGCTGGAAAGAAATACATAGACTGCCATAAAGTCTTCTAATCATGTGTTCTGACAGGATGTACTAAAATAGCACAAAAGTTTGAGGCCTAATGTAACTTTACCTTGGAATTTTGTCTTAACTATGAATTTCTTACTGCTTGTTATATATATAAAGATTTTGTTTAGATAAAGAAGGAATCTTAGTTTTTGCAACAACAATGCTTGCTCTTTGCCATTTTGTTAGGTATTGACAGCAAAGCCTGGGGAAGGGAGGGCTTACCAAGCACTTACTGTACTTTGGCAAGTAGGATGTGAAATTCAGCTACTGCACATGGTAAGTTTTTTGTACCAGCTGGCTGCTCTAATGCTATGGACATGTTTTTAGAAAAGGGTTTATAATGTTTTGCTATCATAAACTAACTGGAAGCTAATTTGATGTTTCAATTAGTTGGAGAACTATTGAAAACTTTTTTTGGATGTAAAAACCTGAAACAGTCATGTTTTGTGTAAAACTTTCAATTAAGCAGCATCATTATTAAGTATGATGTCTCTATTTTCATTAAAAGCCACTGTACTCAAAAACATTTATTCTCAGAAGCTGCTAGATAAGAAAGAGATGTTTGCATAACGCATAAGTCTCTTCCATCTTGCGAAGGGTCATGTGAGACTAGAAAACGGCTCTTACATTCTGTCATAGTCTGCTCTTTGTTATGTCATCTGCATTTTGCATTATGTATGCTTTTGACTTCCTGAGCTGTGTTCAGTAGGAATATATTTTTGAGTCTTGGTGCCTTTATGTTCCAATCAAGCCTGCTTCTCCTGCTAGTCAATAACTATCTTACCTTGTCAAACCTGCTGTGGTTTAGTTTTAAAAAGTTTTTTATGTTGTCCCCCCACCTCCACATGAGCATGTGGCCATCAACTCTCACTTACTTTATGCTTTTTTAGATTTATCTTTCTTTGTGCTCTGTTTTTCTAGGAACCTGCCTTCATAGTTTAAATGTTTTGATAATCTAAAATTAAAAGTTTCACTATCTATTGTCTTCCAAATACCTTATACCATAAGGTGTATATTAAGGTAAATATTAAGGAATTAAAGAATAAGATGATACTTGTTGAAGATGGTCATCTGACTAACAGGGATGAAGAAAAAGCAGAGGCATTCAATGTGTTTTTTGCCTCAATCTTTAACAATACTGATAGACCTTGGGCTGCCCAGCCCCTGGAGGCAGAGGACCATGACTGTGGGAACAGTGACTTTCCATTTATGGACATGTAAGGGACCAGCTATATCAGCTGAATGTTCACAGGTCCATGGGGCCTGATGGGATTCATCCCAGACAATACTGATAGACCTTGGGCTGCCCAGCCCCTGGAGGCAGAGGACCATGACTGTGGGAACAGTGACTTTCCATTTATGGACATGTAAGGGACCAGCTATATCAGCTGAATGTTCACAGGTCCATGGGGCCTGATGGGATTCATCCCAGAGTTCTGAAGGAGCTAGCAGATGTTATGGCAGGACCCCTCTTGATCATTTACCAAAGGTCTTGGGAGTCTAGGGAGGTCATCGCTGACTGGAAACTACCACTGTTACTCCAAGCCACAAAAAGGGCGTGAGGGAAGACTCAGGAAACTACAGACCTGTTAGTCTTACCTCAGTACCTGGAAAAACTGTGGAGAAGATGATATTGGGTACTATTGGAAGGCATTTAAAGAATAATGCAATCATCAGGCACAGTCAACATGGATTCACAAAGGGAAAGTCCTGTTTAACTAACTTGATATCCTTCTGTGATAAGGTCACCTGCCTAGTGGATGAAGGGAAGGAGTGGAATTTTTCTGGATTTTAGTAAGGCGTTTGATACTGTCCCTTACAGCATCCTTGTGAACAAGTTGCCCAGCTGTGGGATAAGTGGGTTCATGGTGCACTGGGTGAAGAACTGGCTGAAGGGCAGGGCTCATAGGTCTGCATCTGACTGGTAAGCAGTCACCGGTGGTGTCCCTCAGGGCTCAATTCTAGGGCCAGTTCTGTTCAACATATTTATTAATGATCTGGATGCAGGAGTTAAATGCACCATTAAGCAAGTTTGCTGATGACACCAAGCTGGGAGGTGCTGTTGACTCTTGAGGGACAAGATGCCTTGCAGAAGGATCTAGATAGATTGCAGCACTGGGTAATGATTAATGGGATGAAATTAAACAAGTCAAAATGCTGGATTATGCACCTAGGATGGAGTAATGCCAGGCAGAAGTATAAATTGGCAGAGGAGGAACTGGTAAACAGCCCTGCAGAAAGGGGTCTGGGGGTGCTGGTTGGCAGCAGGCTCAATAGGAGTCAGCAGCGTGCCCTGGCAGCCAAGAGGTCAAACCCCATCCTGGGGAGCATCAAACACAGCACAACCAGCCGGTCAACAGAGGTGATTATCCCACTGTATTCAGCGTTGGTGCAGCCTCACCTTGAGCACTGCGTGCAGTTCTGGGCCCTGCAATTTAAGAAGGATGTGAAGGTCCTTGAACGGATCCAGAGGAGGGCAACAAAGCTGGTGAAAGGGCTGGAAGGAATGTCCTGTGAGGAGTGGCTGAGGGCTTTGAGCTTGTCTAGTTTGGAGAAAAGGAGGCTGAGTGGCGACCTCATTGCTCTCTATATCTTCCTGAGGGTAGGATGTGAGGTGGGAGCTGCTGGTCTCTTTGCCCTGGGATCCAGTGATAGAAAGCATGGGAATGGTTCAAAACTGGACCAGGGGAGGTTTAGACTGGATGTTAGGAAGCATTTCCTTACTGGCAGAGTGGTCAGACACTGGAAGAGGCTTCTTAGAGAGGTGCTCGATGCCCCAAGCCTGTTGGAGTTTAAGAGGTATTTGGACAATGCCCTTAAGAACAATGCTTTAACTTGGTCAGCCCTTAATTGGTCAGGCACCTGAACTAGGTAATTGTTGTAGGTCCCTTCCAACTGAAATATTCCATTCTAACAAAGCGCTTTAATTCTGTAATATATTTGCTCCCTCCCATAGGAACCTTGGTCATCATTTTTAACTAATTTGAAAAGTGGGGGACTGGCGGTAGCAAAAAGCACGGTAAGATTGTTGTGTGTACTTTTCTGCTTTTGGAGATGCAGCTAAACCACTTTTAAATAAAGGTTAAAATGACTTATAACAGCATTTACACATGTATTTTTGTAAGAAGTATTCTTCTAATTAAACCTTACAGGCTGCATGTAGATACATCAGAAGTGAGGTGAAGGATTGCTATTAGCTTAGAAACTGAAATAAACTAGTATCTTTATTGTCTGTGATGGACATAGAGTCAATAAACAGCATAAAGGGATGTGAATAGGTAAAATCCTTTTCAAAAGAAGTTACTGACAGGGTCACATCTACCTGCTTGAACAAAACAAGTGTTACCACAACTAATAGCACAATCAGTATGCTGCTGGTTTTGATTAAAATGGTTATTCACATGTCCAGTATAGATTCTGTGTGCTAATTAATTGCTGAAAAGTGTGTCTCAAAGCTTAAAGTTGGGACGTGGGAAAAATACTTGGTGTAAAGTTCTTCTCTGAAAGAGAAATTATGTTCTCTTCCATAATATAAGAATATTTCTATTTAATACCAAGAGTATAAAAGTATGTTTACTTAATATTTGGTTTTACCCTCCCTAAAAAACTGCTGTGGTAGTATATTGAGTGTTGTTTGAAATGTTACTGTACAGTGTAAGTGACTATAAGTGAATGTAACTGACTGGGTGTGCCTTACACACTTAGGTGTGTTGATGTAAAGCCATCTAGAGAGGCATATTAGGTGGATTATGTAAGAAGTATTGTGACAGCCTTAGGAGAAGTGCAAATGTGAGAGCTATTGGATGATATATCCATTGCTGCCAAGACAGAAGTACATTTATTTCAGCTAAAGACTCCATTCCCTCCCAATTTCATAAAATCCTCAATTTACAATATTGTCTTAGTGTCACACTCAAATAATTACATCTTTATATACAAAAGGCAGGTAGTTAAAGTGATCTGATCTGATACCTTGCACCGTATAGGAATACTATAGGACATATAAAACTCTTGAAAACTTACATCAAGCCTGTATTATCTATTTCAGCTAAGGAAGTTCAGCCTTAAAAAATAAAAATAAAACCGAAGTGATAGTATGTCCATTTTATTTTCTATTTCCTTTCTTGTTTGGGGGGCGGGGGAAGTAAATCATCGTTCTGGAAAAAAATTTTAAAGCCTCAGCTTCCAATGAAAACATCTTGTTAAGAATTCTAAAACTCTTTAAGAAATGTTACTGGTGGCACACTGTCTTAAAAATGACTTTTCAGTGGCTTGTTTTGTCTTTCTTGCAGTGGCTGCCAAATGACCATTTATGTTTGGTACGACTGACTCCTCGGCAAAATTTATTTACAGAAGGCTTGAAGCCCACAAGTTCATCTACCTTTATTTTCATGGTGAAACAGTGTTTTGCAAAACCCAGGTCTAGACTTACTGATAGGTTAAAGTAAGTAAGAAAGAATTACAGTTTTTATAACTTTTTCTTCAGAGTAATACAGGAAAATATTAAAATATGTTCTCAAAGCAGTAGTTATTTGCAGCTGAAATACAGCTTTTCTTCTTTTAAATTAATTATCTACATGTAGAATAAAAGATTTCATTTTTGCAATCCACAAGACAGTATTTTGGGGACTGTTCCTGGCCTGTATTCACAGACTATAAAAACTTGAAGTTTGACAGGAAGATCAACAAGTATTTAGAATGTAGATGTACAGTAATTGTCTGTACCTCCAATGGAGGTGAGGTCATGTATCTGCAAGAAGTTTTCACTCACTGTACAGACATCATAAAGTCACCAAGAGTTTTTCAGGTATAGAAATTAAAAGCCGAAAGAGTTTCAAGTTTATAACAGACATCAAAGTAGTAATGCTAATGAAAACAGCTGAAAGTTACTGAAGGTGGAGTGAGGATATCCTCAAATGGCTTTCTGTTATCTAAGTAAAAAATGAGGCTTTAGACTTATTTACAAATTATGCAACACTTTAATTACTCTATTTGGTATTGGAGCTATTTGCTTTGCTTTATGATCAGTAAATTTCCGTTTCCCATAAAATGGAAGTGTTTGCAGTCGGGAAAGCATTGACTTCAACTTGTTAATTAAAATAATTAATGTATTTCTCATTTGCTGGTGGTAGTTTATGGAAGTTAATTTCCAGAAAGGGGCAGGGGGGAGGGAAGCTAATAAATTCCAGTAACTCATTTAGCCAAGACAAGTGCAAAGAGCTTTAATGGATTTCTTTCTTAAAGCTCAGCGGTGTACCTAATCTGCACACAGTCCTTTGGCTGGGAAGTGGAGCTAACCTTGAAGGGTTCTAATGTGCATCTTCTGTGTATTTATACAGCCTTTTCTTGTCTGGAAAATAGTTAATGCATATGCACATTTATAAAAGGTCTAGTTTTCATAGCAATGATGTAGATGGGGAGATAGTAGATACATCTGGTTATATATAGAAGAAAATACCTGGGAGGTGTAAGTCACACTAACTCATGTTATACTGAGTCATCTTCTTGAAGATGACCTTGGCTTTAATTTCCCAGGCATTGAAGAATAAACCCTTTTTATGCTGTAATGCCTGTTACTGACTTACGCAGTTGGGGCAGAGCGGGGAGGGATAGCACCCACCCTGTAATGAGGAGGCTTATGTGGTTTGGTATTGTCTACGTCTGCTGGGGGCTTTATTTGGTATTTATATGTCTTATTAGCAGAGTTTTATTTTATTTATTTATTTATATGTCTTATTATTCATGTTTGCAGTATGGATTGAAAATAACTTGTGTTGTAGGAAGATGTTAACTTCTTCTAGAAGCTGCGAAAGAGTGAAATGCACCTTCAGATACTGTTTCCTTCTCTTCAATTTTTCACAGAAAGAAATGCACTATTATGATTTATTTGTTTGTTTCAGGTCATGGAGCTTGCACAATGGTGGCAAATTACTGAGAGCCCTAGAAATTCCAAAAAACGCTGAAACACGTAATTTATACCCAGAAGATTATAGGCGTCTTTTTGAGGCTTTGCAAAACTCTAATATGCTTACTGAAACTTGGTTCCATGATGAAGTCTTGGAAAGTATAAGGAACATAAATATATAAATCTAAAGCTGCTGTCTTTTGGAAGATCACCTTTGCTTCTGGAAGATTACTTTGGTAAGAAATTGATTTAAATAAAATCAGAGATACTGTTAGCTCTATGATTTCCTGTCCAAACAGGAAAATAAGTTTAGCAAGTAACAAGAGCCGTTCTACACAGGATGAAAGTAACGGATTTACAATTATTTGATCACAATCCTATCTAGAATGGACAAACTTTGCATCTTTTCCAGGAGCATATTAGTGACCTGCTTTTGGACGTATCGCTTACATGGAACTTTTCGTTACACTGCTGTGTATTTACAACATTTGGAAAAAACCAACAGACCAAATATCATTATTGATAATGATATAATCATATATCATTATAATCATATATCATTGTGTGGTTTGTATTTTAGTGCTCAGTGATTTGAATGCCCTTTCACAGCTTCCCAAAATACTTCGGTCTTTAAACCCTCTGAATCTGTTATATTGTCTCCTGATCTAGAAACCTTGCAGTCTAAAGTCAACATAATAAATCAATAGTGGTGGGTTAATAGAAGACGAGGTAATGACAGCGTGATAAAACAACAACTGTGTTGGGTTTTTTATCTAAAGATTGTTATATCTCTGGGGAAAAAAAATTGTAACAATTCTTTCTTTTGAAAATTTGAAAAGAACATTGGGCAGCCTGTTGCAGTTTACAATACACCGACACCTATGTGTGTATAGGCTTTATCTTATTTTAGGTCTGAAAACAAAGTCACTAGAACATTCAGTGCTGTATAAACAGTTTGGGGGGGAAAAAAAATCAACTTACCTGCAACTTTTGTCAATATGTATTTGTTTAATGTTTATTATATGTACAAAATAATTTACTTTAAAACCATATGCTAATAAAATTCTTTTTTTACCCATAGTACTTCATAATGCAACCTGTTCATAGTTTCTCTTCCTCTTACCATGTAACTGTTCTGTTGTTGTCTGGTAGGGCTGGCAGGCTGTACTGGTTCTGTGTTCTGTACTGTTTCCTCTGGGAAAAGCTGTGGCCAAAAATCTTTTTTAGCAGAATACAAGTTAATGAAATGCCTTTTTGGTAAAGGCTGAGCTATTTTCAGGCTTTGGAAAACAGCAGTGACCAAAACAATGCAAACACAGAATTGTATTTCTTAAGCATAGTGTGAGGTATAGAAGTGACAAGCATTCATCTCCGTCTTCCTCCTGCAGTTCCATCTGCAGAAGAAAAAATGATTTCAAGCAGCCTCAGTTCACTCTGCTAGCTAGGCTGCAATTACCTGTTTAAGCTGCTGCTAAGCCTGTGTGATGATGTTATGATGAAGCTACTGGAAAGGCTGAGGTTTAATTTGCAGTCTGTCTCACAGCATTACTGATGTTTTGGTGCAGGCTGTGAAGATTTGAGGCTTGCTTTCTCTTCACATCTCTTGCAATTTCGGGTAACTTGCATTACAAATTGACCATGAATGGCAAACTTACATTAATAGAAGCAATTCCACCTTTTTTCAATCTTAGTGGATGGTAACTGTCTTATCTACCGGTCTAAAAGAATGCGGTGTCTCCTGGGCTGATTTCCACCCACCACCACCACCTTGAATCAAATACCTTGCTCTGTTGCAGCAAGATGTCTTACATCAACATACCAGGAGAAGTATTCAATGCATAAAATACAAGACCACCACTGTCTATATAAACTTCTTTACCTGTGTTGCTGATAACATTTCAAACATGAACGGAAAGAAAGAAAATTATTTGCTGTGATTTTTTTGATGCTGTTGGAAAACACCGTGTACTGAGACAATGCAGAGACTCCTAAGGTAACAGCAGGAGTCTGTAAGTGGAAGGAATATTGTGTAACTGGGGACTTGAAATGAGGAGATTTAATGCTAACCATAACTCAGCCGTTAAGTCTAAGTGTAAGCAATATGTTTAGCCCTGATCACAAATGTGAAATGAAGAGAATAATGGCTGTTGCTATAAAAATGGTTTTGGTATTGATGGAAGAGATGGGGAAAAAAAGTGAAAATTACTGGTGTCCATGAGTAAATATGGGGGAGTGAAATTGAAATAGGTCTGTGGATTTGATAAATTGATGCTATCCACTCAGTACTTCCTACTGTTGCAGGTTAACAGCTTCTGTAGGATAATGTTGAATGTAAACTTTCACTGAAATTTTAAACTGTATATAAAGGCTTCTCATGCATTTTTGTTACAATTTTTAACTAACCATACACTACTGGTATTCCTTTCCTTTGCGTATCTGCCTTTGCTATATTCCTTGATATGATGATGGAAAATTGAGTGAACATCTCTTCAGTTATTTTTGGATCATGTAAATGCAAAGACAGGACTTGCAACTAGGAAAACAGTATATAAATTCAGGTTAATATTTACAATTTAATAACACACAAAAACGCTATTCAAAGAGAAAACAAAACTGCAAATTCACTCAAAAGTTAAAATGCTAGACCTTATCAGAAGAGAAGACTTTAATGAATGCTAACTTTGAGACCAAAAGGTCTACAGGAATTATTTTTCTATCATGGTGGGATAGCAAAGTTTCCCATTTCTGAAAGTGCATTCATTCGTGAGTGTATCCTGCCAGATACAGTAAGTAATAAAAAGTATTTTGAAATTAGCACCAACATTTGAAAATGTTGCACAATTCGGTTGTTTATTACATAGTTTTAGTGTTACGACACTATTTATATAAGAGATAAAGTAATAGTTTTTTTGAAATAACATTAATTAGCTGCAAGTTTTTGGGCAGATTTATTTCATCCTATGTTTTCCTGTCTTTGAATCTGTGATCTTGGAGGAGATGAATGTTACAATATGCATACAACAAACATACTTAATAGAAGGTTTACAGTATAGCATATTCCTTTCAGTTATTTCCAGACTGTGGCATTGTGGTTTCTTTTTTTTTTTCTTTTTTTCCTTTTTTTTAAAAACTCATGAACCTCTAAAACATGAACCACACATGATACATCTATCAAGTAGAATTCTTAAGTATTGCTCCCACTCTTCAAATACTGTTTCTTAGAGGACTTGCGAAGAAAATGGCTTTTGGCATATTAAAGCATTAATGTATCACAGTTTGTATGCTGATTGTAACTTCAGAGGTGCTAAGTTTTCTCTAATGGCCCTCATCATTTGTGCCATACATCTGCCTGTAAAAGAAAATTGCATGACTGTGATGGCAATTGCCTAACGTTTTACTATTTAACTATATTAGAATCATAGCAAACACAAACAGAAATAAACTTGGTCCTTATGATGCCCAGTTAATGAGAAATTTTGCCACTTGGGTTTAGGAGATCAGTCAAGTTGGATTCTATAGTTAGTAGTTCGCTTTTGATCCAGAAGAAGGGTTTGTGACCTTGTAGTAATTAACACAGTAGATGATGTGATAAGGGGTTGTTAAGGTGGAATGTGTATATACTGGCTACTAAGCTTGTTCAGCATTGCATATTTTAATGATTACAGCTTAACCTTGCAGGTAATAATGAAAATGTTGATAGAAGTATCAACATAAAACTCAGGAAACAGATTGTGTGGTGTAATTTAAGATGTGTGTGATAGGAAGAACCTGAGACTTCCTGAGAAATATATTGAATTAATCGTTATGGCAGGCTAAACACAATCTATGGGGCTGTAGATTGAAAACTCTCATCTGAGGTTTGCAAGCCTGTAATTAGCAAAGCTGTACCTTTCTTCTGTAACCACTGAGAAAATGGATACAAGAAGTAACTTTTCAGAAAGAACAAGCTAGTGATGTTTATTCACCTGGTTGTATCCTTGCTCAATAGCTATTGCGTCTTTCCTTGTGTATGCTGTTTAACATGTCATGTCTAAAAATAGACACACTGGCTGTCCCCAGCTGATACAACTCAACATGCAGCAAGCATACAAAGCCCAAGGGAAATTAGAGTAGTTAAGATACACAAAATGGCCAGTTACTCATAATGTAAGCGAGACTTTAACATTTAATGTAGTTGATCCTATTGATAAGACACCAAATAGACGAACACTTAAGAAATTATGCTGACAAACTTCAGAAGCTTGTTTCTGCCGTCTGGAAGAAATTAATGTGTTAGAGGCAGGGAAGACTCAAAGTAGAAAGTTTTTATAAAGTTCATACTAAAAAAATCAAGTAAAATCTATGTTACTGTGAGTGAAATTCATTGTTATGAATTAGTGCTTAAAATGCTTCTACATGAGGTTTTTTATAATTTTGCATTCTAGAATAATTTAACTAGCACACCAACATTAAAAGTGAGGAGACTTCATCAAGAGGTTCCTATGTCTTCACAAAAGATCCATCTGTGCTTACAAGCTTTCAACTAATTATTTGATAGCTCTTCTGTGCCATTAGTGAAACAGGTTTTGTACTAATCCATTAACATTTTGTGTTTTGAGCCATATTTTGCTCCCAGAAAAATTCACTTTTATGCTGTGATGGTTGGGATGGGTATTGCACATTTAGGACTAACGAGTAGAATTTGGATTATTTCGTTACTCCAATTCTTCCTGTAAATTCATGTTGTAAAACATGCTGTCTTCAGATATAAGAGCTAAACTTCCACTACAGTGTCTCATCCACTGGCAGTAAGGAAGTATGACTAATTCAGCAGCATCAGCCACAATTAAGTGGTATTTCCCACAAACGTGCCTTCATTACATGCCTTGCCAGCTGCTTCTATCCAGAATGTGTCATGCATTTCAAATAGCTGTTGGGAACTCTTGACCCGTCTAGGTCAGTGGATGACTGCCATACAAAAACCCCATACTAATAACAGGGATTAATTCACTTAAATATAGTCAAGGCCTAAATGACCACTTATTGGCATATGTAACCATAATATCATTATGCTTTTCAGAAAATTCAGACTGACATTTCCAAAAACATTGGAGTTGCTCGCTATTGCTCAAAGACTGCGTGTTGAATAGCCTTCCTAGGCAGACCAGTCTGTAAACTATAGATGTAGATATTCAGAATCAGC